GGGGGAGAAGCCGGGGAGGTTGGTGGAGAAGGAGAATTCGAAGTCGTCGTCTACGTCAACGTCGTGGTTTTGGGGAGTGAGGTTGTGGTTAGGATTATCTCTGGCGGAAATGAGAGGGAATGACTGGGAAGAGTGAGAGTAATAATGGGCCAAGGTTGGAGAAGATGGTGCCTCCTTCTCCGTCATTTCTTGTGTTTGAGCCACCACAAATACAAGACTGTTGTGTCTTCAGAGCCTCTCCTATACCATATTTATAGACACCGGACTCACTACAAGTGCCGCAATCACCATATTTTTCTAATTAAAAAAAAAATATATATATATTATAACTATGCTTTCAATTTTGGACTTAAACATGAAATATCATACGTTAAGAACAAAATATTTACTTACTTTATGTGATGTGTGTTTATGATCACCAATTAAAATTAATTATCACTTCTGACAATCAATATTTTTTTACCTATATTATAATTAAAAAATATTCTATTTACTTGATTTATTAATTATTAGTTTCTATTAAGGAATTTGATTGATTTTTAGTTCATCTCTTATTTTAACAAAATATTTTTATTAATAAAGTTTGAACATAATATGGATATCATGTTTAGTAATTAAGAGAAAAAATTATATGTTAAAAGTGAATATTACCTTCATTCCTTTTTAATAGTTATTTATAATTGTTATATATAAATTAATAAAATTCAATAAATTTATTTATTTTTTATAAAATAATTGTAATATTTTTTTATTATATTTGCTTTCATTTTTGTTATGTAATAAATTTATATTAGTTATTAATGTAAAAATTAGTTAAAGTTAAGTGGGAGATGAGAATATAATTAATACAACGATAATTAATATTGTGTTAAATTTAAAAATGAGAAATAAATAGGAATAGTTTTTTACTTAAAAAGCAACTAAAAATAATTAAAAAATCACATAAGTATTATACAAATGGTTTACTTTGATAACGGGAGACAAGTGGAAGAAAAAGATAATTAAATCAAAGATAGGAAAATGGGAATATTCCCCTCATCTAATTGCAAGACAGGTAAAAGAGGAGAAAAATGAGCTAAATGAACTCAAGGGAATTAGTGAGGAAAACGTGAATTTTTATTTTATTAGTAGTTTTTAATATTTTTATATATAGTAACTTTTAGTTTAATATGAAAGTAAAAAAAAATAAGAAAAATCTTATAGTAATTTTATTTTATATTTTTCATTAAATTAATTTGTATCATTACAACGTTTATTATATAATTTACTTATATTTATAATTTTATTTATATAAATAAATAAATAAGTAAAATTTTGTGTATTATATACTTCTATTCTTTTCCTGGTCTTATTTTATCTTCTCTTAAATTTCATCTCTGGTCTAAACATAGACTTGGGTAAGGTGGTCCCAAAGTTCAGTTTTTGCCAGCGCAAAAAGCGGGCTATCTTTTTCGCTTTGCGTCATCCTAATATAATAAATTTGTAGTCCTTTTATTGTTTTAGTGCATGTTTGATTTATTCGTCGCGGATTAAAATTTGCAGGAAAATCCGCAAAAAAAGTTACCTGCAAAATTTTTCTACCATTTAATAAACACATTACTTGCGAATTTATTTTTGCAAAAAAATATGCAAGAAATTTCTATGTTTATTAAGATTGTAACAAAATTTGTAAGAAATATGTGTAAATTATTTTTCACAAATAAATCCGCAAAAAAATTCTGCGAATATATTTTTGCAGGAAAATTTGCAAAAAATTTCTGCAAATATTTTTTTGCAGGAGAATTCGCAGGAAAATGAAACTTTTCTAGTAGTTTTATAAAGTGAAAATTTTTGATTTTTTTAAAATACGAATCATTTTTTTTAAATTAGATCAGTTCAGTACAATATAATTATTTATTTTTTATTTATATGTGAGTGATTTTTTAAAAAAAAAATTAAACTGAATTAAACCAAATTATCTTATAAAAATAAATTGAATATCTGAATCAATTTTATAAAATAAATTGATTCAATTTTTTTTAAAATAGATTCAGATAGAATCAATTTATATCAATTTAAATTGTTTTCACATCCTAGTAAGATGCAGAGGGTAATGTGGGCAGACTCTCACTTTATTCACCTGACACAGCGTGTACTTTGGGTTTGGTCCTGTACAATGGATTGATTGGGTTGTGTTCCTCACATAAAGCCATTACCTTCCTCGTTCTTCTTTCAGGTGTCACACTTCCAATACAAGCTTGTCAGATTATTCCCAAAAACTCATCTTATCCACAAATATCGCTTTCAATCACTTGTATTACAACATCATCTTTTGTAATGCTTCTCTATTTCTATATTTTTTTATTTTTTTTTTCGTCTCTGGAGTATCCGCTGTCAACAGCAGTGACTAATCTCCTCGCTACGTTGGAGGCACCTCAAAGAGTGGGATAGCTGGCCCAAAATTTCTCTATTTCTATATTTGAATACAGAAGTCTTTGTAGACTTGCCAAAAGGTTTGTCAATTTAGAATGCCTTTGAGAAAATATGGATATTAAAGAAATTATACATCATGATGTTATTTGTTGTCCTTCCTGAATTTATACATAAATAACAAAGATCGATTTCATATATATTTAAAAAGTTAATTAAATATATTTAATTTTAATAATTTTACATAAAATATATACTAAATTTACTAAAATATATTTAACTACATGTATAATAAATAATTTTTCTATTTATTTGTTTAAAAATATTAAATAATATTGATTTGATTGATATTTGGTTATATTTTTATTTCAAAAATTTAAGTATGTTTATTTATATAGAAGTCACGAGAGAATACAAGGAAAAATGACACAAAAGCAAGAAAGAGTAGTTTAACCAATTAGAGAACTAACAATCAAATACATAAGTGTTTGGAGTCAAAACATCATTGGATAAACAATTACATTCTAATTGTTTCAAGCACCTTCTTGAAACAACTTTATTTAACATTTTTAAAAAAAAGAAATAAGTATTTTTTTTTATTTTAAATTGAATTAAAGTAAATAATTATTTTTCCTAAAATAAGAAACTAATCAAACTCATCCTATTGTGATGATTATTATTTTCCTAACTGGTAAGACCAGTGAGTCAGAGAGAATGCAATAGTGGTAGGGAGGGAGCGAAAAAAAATTATGTATTTTTTTTTAATCTTACATTTATTAAGATATTTGCTTATATAAGTTTTGAAAGATTTATTTCGATCAATAACATAAATTTTACATAAAATTTTAATAATTCAATCGTTAAATTAAATTTTTTAATACATAAATAAGTTTACAATTTTAAAAAAATATTTAATTCTTTGTTTCTTTAATTTAAATTGACAGATAATTATAAAATCATTTTATACATTGATTTGAGTTTATATAATAATGTATCATATGATTTTTAATTTTTTTTTAAAAATGTGTAAATTTAATCTATGTACTAAAATTTTTTATTTTAATGATTAAATTGTTAAAATTTGATATAAAACATGAATTATTGAGTAAAATAAATTTATCGAGACTTACTTTTAGAGTAAGTGAATCTCTCATTTATATATATATATATATATATATATATATATAGAGAGAGAGAGAGAGAGAGAGAGAGAGAGAGAGAGAGAGGGAATGATTACTTTAGGAATATATCTACTTAGACTTATTTCATTCAATAACATATGTTTTACATTAAATTTCAATGATCCAACTGTTGGATTTAAAATTCTTTATGCACAAATTAAGTTTATTGTATTTAAAAATTTCAAGCGTGTGGTTCAACGGTAGGGGTTGATCTACACTTAAGCAAGGTCAGGACTTTGAATCCTGCCTTGTGTATGCAGTCGCGTTAAATCTTGGGGCCAGTTATCCCATCATTTGAGTACCTCTAACATAGCTAGGAGATTAGTCACTGCTATCAGCCCTGGATACTCCAAGAACGAACAAAAAAAAAGTCTATAAATTTTAAAAAAAATTGAACACCATTAGATACTTAATTTCATTAATTCAAATCAACTTATAAAATAATTTTTATTATTATCTATTAATTTAAATTAACTAAATGAAATATTAAATGATTTTTAAACTTTTAAAAAATTTGCAAATTTAATCTATATATTAAAAATTTTAAATTCAATAATTAAATCATTAAATTTAATGTAAAATTATATTTACTCTTACAATAAATGAAGTAAATCAATGGAAGTAAATGAATCTCACTCGTTTAAAAGCCTAACTTCTTCCGACAAATACTATTCTATGTATTAAAAATAACATAGGGATTAAACCCCTTATTATATGGTTAAAGATTGAAAGTTATTTATTAATTATATTATGTATTCATTTGAGTAAGATACGGAGTATATGATAATGTATATTTTAATTTTCCTATATAATATATGATATATGTTGAACGTTTTGCAAAAGGCAAGTGAGTAACACTAAGAACTAAGAAGGGAGAGTGGGAATATATCCCTTGCTTGTGGGAGGAGGAAGAGTGGGTCCAGTGAGTCGAGTGGCATTTGGGGCCCACAAGAGAAGAAGAGTGGTCTTTGGGTATGCGTTCTTTTTCGAGGACCCAAATATTCTCAGCTTCTGTCACTTCATTCAGACACGACTAGGACTGTAGTGGGACGTATCTTGCCTCTATCACCTGACACACATTCAGTTCACAATCCATCAAATTCCCATTCCCATACCAACCAACCACTCATTTTATTATTATTTATTTATCTGCTCAAGCTTACCTCACCCTACAACCTAGGGCCCACTCTCCATAGTAGATAGTGCAGTGAGTGCACTACAACGTGTCATTCGCCTCACACCTTTTTCTTCCTTCTTATTCACTGTCCCGTCCCAACTAACACTCACATTCTCTCACTCTCTACACTTCCACTTACCTCTCTTCTTTCTCTCTTTCACGCTCATCATACACTACTCTTGCTAGTGCCACTAATTCTAGTATTACAAGACAATGGGTTTTTCCTCCCTCCACGTCTGCATGGACTCATCAGATCACTGCCTGCAGGTATACATGCCGGCCATATATGCATCACAAATATGTTTGCTTCTTGCTCTTCAAACTCATGCATCAGAACCATCTACTTGTATTCATATGCTTCTGTGCAAATTTTGTTTTAACGGGGAGTACTTAATTATGTCTTTGGACTTCCTAACAACGTAACCATTCTATCAATTTACTCATTCTTTCTATTTTTATCATATTATGCTCATCGTATCTACATTTTTCTCTCTTCTGTGTCTTGTCTACTAGCATGAAATGTCTAAGTATCATTTTACTTGGGTGATGAAGTCCGCTTCACACCACAGTAACTAAATACAACGCTTTGAAGAGAGTTTTAGCTGATCATGACGTTAGAGTTTATAATTAGAACTGTGAAGTAAACTGCTAGCTATACATAACTTAAAATACTATCAAGAAGAAGTAGCGGCAGCTTATATATATAGTATCACGTTGCACTATAAGTTATCATTACGTTTTTATTCTTCTAAATTAGAATGTTTTGCCACCCGAAAGGGGAAAAAAGACGAGGGAAATAAAGAAGGAAAAGAATAAGCAGAAGAGAAGAATAAAAGGAAAGGGTCCCCCAATAATCCAATAAAAAATGACATAAATTTGACAGTACGTGACACATTTCCACATTCATTAAATATTGTTTTGTAATACAAAATGTCAGGGCACAATTCACGAGGAGTATGGTGGGATGGATTCTTCTTCACCATCTGGCGACATGCTTCCATGTTCGAGGCCAATGACAGAGAAGAGGCTAAGACCCCCCCAAGAGCAAGCCCTCAAGTGTCCCAGGTGTGAATCAACACACACCAAATTCTGCTACTACAACAACTACAGCCTCTCCCAGCCTAGGTACTTCTGCAAAACTTGTAGAAGGTACTGGACCAAAGGAGGTACTCTTAGGAACATTCCTGTTGGTGGTGGCTGCAGAAAGAACAAGAAAGTTTCCACTAAGAAACACAATGAACCTCAACCACCTATTACTCAAAATCAACCTCACCCTGCACCCTCTTATCTTCATAACCACAACGATCTTCAACATTCCTTCCTAGATGTGCAATTTTCCCACCTCAATAACTTACTTGGGACTAATGCTGGGGCACTGGTAAACCCTAATTTCATGCTCGAGAATCCTAGGCCTATTGACTTCGTGGAAAGCAGGTTGGATGATATGAATATGATTAGGAGTTCCACTAGGAATTTTGATCTTCTTGAAAATAGTGATGTGAGTGTGGGTGGTGGTGTTGGGGTGGGTGATGTGAGTGGATACAGTGGATTGCCATTGAGTTATCAAGCTCTTTCTTCGTCTCCAGCATTTGGGGGCATGTCCCTTGATGGAAGCATTAGAAATGTTGGAACTTATATAATGGACTCTTGCCAGCGATTTATGTTGCCCTGTGATGGAGGTGATAATTCCCTTAATGGTTCTATTGATGTGAAGCCAAACCCTAAGCTGTTGTCCCTTGAATGGGATCAGGGTTGCTCTGATGCTGAAAAAGTGTCATTGGGATATCTTAATGGTTCAGGATCATGGATCGGCTATGGATCTTCCGCAACAAACCCTTTGGTCTAGAGCTACTAATCTCACTTCTCATATCATGAATAATGATATCAATAATATATGTTAGAAATACTCTCTTTTAACACTCTTT